TATATATATATGCGATATAAATGCAATACTATTAATTTTACATTTTCTTTATACATATAATTATGTATGATTTTATTTTATATTATATTAATAATATTACATATTACGAATCTGATGAGAAATGTTTAGCTTATATTAAGATGTCTTTTCTTGAGCACAGTTTGAGACATTTTTGGGATCTTTTCTAAAACTGTAGCTAGATTACTAAAGTCAGTTTCTCAAAATAACACGCATGACACAGCGAGCTCCAAGCAATAGTCTAATTTTGCTCTCCGTTTAATCTAACCCTTGTCTAGGAGAAACAAAAGAAATGTCATTTGTGATGGGCTATAGACTGAATATTTACATTATATCAAACAAAACGAAACAGACGCATTAGAACATCTGCAGTGTTCTCTGTGAGCTCAGACCATATCAAGTAGCAGAGCCACAGTAAAGCAGCATTCGCATGCATGCGTCTCTGTCGCTCTCAGGACACTGCTGCTGTCCTCCGCATGCTCACACAGGATGCCCTTGCAGAAGCACAACTCACAGAACGCATCCCGAACCGGACACTCACAAAAGCACATCGCATTCTTTTATAAATCACACAAACAATCAGATTCCGCGCTGGAGGAAAGTACAAGTTCAATGCAAAGTGATTGAGTTAAGGTTAAGTACGCACCGGCTGACGCTGAAGCCACGGAAGGCTGGAGACAGGAAGCGAGGATGCACGCGAGCAGATTTGAAAGTACTATCACATACATGATTCATAGCTGGTCTTTGGAATAGCATGAGATTAACGCATGGATGCGGTGACTCGCTCGGGGCTCATTGTCCTTGATGGTCCTGATGCTGCGGCGAGTGAAGGCGGTGGCCAGCCCCAGATCTCCGCGAGCACGCTCCAGATAATGATGCGCTCGCGCAGGTGCCGTGTATCTGCCCACTATACCAGCTGATCCACTATGTCTACACTTATTAGCATAAGATACATAGAATTAAAATATATGGAACTATGTATGCAAGAACTACTATTGCATAGATAAGATTATACGTGTATTGTACACAGTTCATATAAACATATATCTTTGAATAATGTTATCCAGAGTTCTATACTCTCTCTCTCTCTCTCTCTTCATACTAGGCCTACTTCAAGAATCCTATTCTGTAGAATTTCTGTTCTGCAGTATACAGTATATAAAATGTATGATCTATGTATAATTTCATGTATAAGTACACTGTAAAAAAAATTCCGTACAATTTACGGTAAAAAAACGGCAGCTGTGGTTGGCGGAATTTTACAACTGTATACTACCGTAAAATTTATGTCCAATACATGTAATGTCCAATACAGTTTTTCACTGTATATAGTAGGGGAATTTACCATTAACCATTTAACAGGTTTTTACTGTAGCATTTTTACAGTCTTTTACTGTTAAATTCACGGTCATTTTTTACAGTGTATAGCTACCAGGGTTACTGTCATGACGACCCTGAGATTCATACACTGAAGGTCTGAACTGAGGTTGTTACGCCACTGTCTTTGTATTATGTTTGCTCTAAATATCTGCAGGGCTATGATTCAGCCACAGGAAATTACAATCATGCTGAAGAGACAAACAGAAAATGTATGAGTTCAAGAGTTCAAAAATAAATTAGTTCCCCAATAACCCCCCCAACAATTTTAACTGTTGCAGCATTCCTGGAATAATACTGTTTTGTTACTGAAAGAATCAGTGTGTTTGAACAAATCGTTTGATTGAGTAATTCAACGACTCATTCATAAAGACTGACATAAAACGTGTCAGTTAAAGCTACACTACAGAAGATTTTTTGTTGTAAAAATTACATGAGTAATTGAGTGACAGTCTTTGGTGATGTGATCCTTTTTTATTTCCAAAATGTAACAGTGCATCAAAAATAAATAAATAAACGAATCACAAATTTGCACACCAGAAAGGATCAGAAACTGTATAACAACATATAATTTAAATGAATTTTCACAGATTTCTAATGTTGTGTCTACATATTATTATAAGATGTAATATATAATGTATTTATATAATGTCACATTTAGTTTTGTGTTTGTTTGCTTAGTGATTCTTTTTTATATTATTGCATTCTGTTGTATTTTGTTCCTTTCTCCTTTTGTCTATTATATTCCTACAGTATAGAGTAGTAGAGTTTTAGTATTTGGTTGTCTAAATTTGTTTTTATGTGAATGGTTTGTTGTCCTACATTTCCCTGAGTTCAGTAATCTTCTTAATAAACATTTAGGTACTGCTGCATCTGAATCCTGATTCCTCACTGCCCTTCAATACAATCTGTGACAAATGTTTTTTGTTTTTTTTAGTATATAGCTACTACTTCTAATAAAAATAATTTTCATTGCATATAATGCATTTTTTCTTTTTTATATTATTGCATTCTGTTGTATTTTGTTCCTTTCTCCTTTTGTCTATTATATTCCTACAGTATAGAGTAGTAGAGTTTTAGTATTTGGTTGTCTAAATTTGTTTTTATGTGAATGGTTTGTTGTCCTACATTTCCCTGAGTTCAGTAATCTTCTTAATAAACATTTAGGTACTGCTGCATCTGAATCCTGATTCCTCACTGCCCTTCAATACAATCTGTGACAAATGTTTTTTTTTTTTTGTAGTATATAGCTACTACTTCTAATAAAAATAATTTTCATTGCATATGTGTCACCAAAGCCTGTAAATGGCGCTAGCGAGCATCCGATGTAAACTCACATTATTGTGTTTATTAATTTTACTGCTTAGCTAACTGTGAGGTGACACTGCAAAGTATATTTTTTGAAGTTTTTATATGTGTAATCGCTTTGCTAGTTGAATTAATTCATTACCATACAAATAAATAACCGCTCCGGCGCTCCCGCGGATGGTTCGCTCGCGTGCAGGTAACGTTACTGTAACTGTAAGTTACAGTGGGCTTTATCATGATATCAAAAAGTAATTACTGATTGCTTCTTAATATGATAATGTTTTG